AATCGCTCTATTCGCAAACTATGACATCGGCCTTAGTGCTCTGCGCGGGCCTGCTCGACGCATTCTCTCTCTCTGTTGAGGGGCGCAGAGAAAACGAGAAATGGGAGGTCGACTAGGTGACATTGCGCGCCCCAGTGCAACGTAAAGAAGGTTACGGTATACACCCTATGTTCCTGAACTTATAATCTTGTTCTCAAAGCTGGGAGTAAGTGAGGATCTGTTTGCAGTGATGACTTCTGGAGACGAGGGGAAAGTCGAACACTGGAGGACATTCAGTGTACACAACGGGTAAGAAACCTCCCACTAATAAATCCTTCAAGCTCTAAAGTAAGTTATTACACTTGATCGCTCTCTGATCACACTGGTTGATCCAAACAGTGCGACCCTCTTAGAAGGTGAATACCTTTGACGACCCCCTTAAAGGGCGAATACCTCTATTAAGGGATCACTAGCGTCTTCTTTTCCTGGTTATTGTGGTGTGACGATAGACGTTGCTACACGTTAGAGTAAATGAACGGGGGTTGTTAATTTTCTAGGGCACTTGTTGAAAGAAATGCCGACACCTCACACATCACTCTTGAAAAGTCCCTCGCAGAGCCGTTTTCATAGCAATCGTATGTCAGGAACTCTGTCCTGACTGCACTTTACCCTTTCGTAGCAGAATCGGTTGAACTTTTCATTTTGATTCCTCTGATAGACCATGTTAAAAGCTATAGAAGTCTTATTCAGTGTAGAAAAACACGAATGAATGAGGGTTCAAGAGGGAAACGTCATTTAAGGCAAAGGAGCTCCTGATGCTTTTGTGATGCGTCGAAATGTTGGGATTCGCATGAGTAAAATGCCTTCGCAAATTTTTTGAAGCTTGATTATTATTTTCTTATTTATTTATTATTTTTATTACTCATTATTTATTATTCACTTATTATTTACTATTTATTATTTTTTTATTTATTACTATTATTATTTTCTTAATGACTACCAACCACATCTCTTACTCCTATTTTCGATGCTATAACCTACACCGAAGTGACCCTGAACTGTGCTATTGAAGCAGGAGGGACCGTAGACGCAGCCCGTGCAGTGCTAACAATCTTTCCAATCTCACCTCACAACACCTGAATTAATATTCAGAAGCTCCAAACATCTCTATTTCAGAGAAGCGACTGTAGGCATAGGACAGCTTTTTTCACAATCTGCTGTGAAAGATGCTTGTAGGAGATTGAAGGTCAAGATGATCATTCGAGGACATCAGGTGTGTAACAGCATAGAAACCAAATGAATGTAACATTATCCTTCTACATATATCTTGTATAATCCGCCAAGCGGTTGGTGCGTGTGTCTGTCTGTCTGACCGGAAATTCATAACTTCACTCCCTTTGATCCCAGAGCGCTCAAACTTCTAGGGTATATAGGGGATGATGATGGGTGGTGGAAGTGATGACTGAAGATAGGTGCTGATAACGGACGTCGAAATATTGATGTCACCAATTTCGTTGCACCGTTCGCGTTGACAGTGGAGAGTTTGCACTCATGTATGATATGTGGGGTGAAGCTAAGAAGTTGAGTGAAAGAAAGTGGTAGCAACTGATAAGAACTGATAAGGGGCGTCAAGGTGTGAATACCACCAATTATTGCTACGGCCTTCGCGGTGAAAGTAAGCTTGGTTCTCACATATGGTATAGGAGAAATAAGTGACGAAAATTGAGTGCACACTCGGTTGAAATAAATCAGATTTTCAACACGTTCCATGTTATATATGTTCCATCTCTAATCCTTCGATAAAAGAAGCGGAGGTGAAGCCGAAAAGCCTATGCATCAAACATTTCAAAAAAAGTATAAGAGATAGTTCTCAACGGCACTGGAAACACAGCATATACGCTAGCTTGCTTTTAGCATTTCTGGCGGCTCACTTTTTGCCCCCCACCACATATGTTCCCGTCCCACCCTCTACATCACTTTTCGAAACCAACGCCTCTCTGCTGCTGGGACACCCACAGTAAATTTCGTGAAATTTGCTTTTCAGCGCCTCTTATCAGATCTTATCAGTCGTTATCACTTTCTGACCCCCACCAAATATGTTCCCGTCCCACCCCTATATCATATTCAAAATACAGCGCTCCATCGCTGCAGCGAAGCGCGCTATGAATTTCGTGACAAACAGACGTACACACACAGACATTCTGTGACATATTAGATGTATAACATTTTAGCTGCTATGCATTCGCGTGCATCACACGGAACTGCATTGGTATGAAACAGAGCCATTGATATTTCTATAGTTTACCCTGGAAAACTCCGCAAATCCTCGGTGGCGCTAGCATAGCATTTCGCCCCATTCCTTCGCCAACCTTTATCCAATTTTTCTTTGAACCTACCTGTAATATTTACGCTCCATCTACAGATAGCAGTTGACCTGCCTTCCATTGACAGGCTCAATCCACCTTCTGCTCGGGCTCTAGGAGCCAAATTACAAAGTCTCAGGGATAACTATGTCCCTTTTGTCCCTTCCCCACCCACCAATAGCAGTTGGGCTCTACTCACCTCTATCCATCCTATTCCCGGTCTTTAGTCTTTTGGAGCCGAATTGTGAATTTTCGTCGCAAACCCTGCCCACTTCGATGCACACCCTACCCACTAATGTCAGCTGGCTCCTTTCCGTTGAAGAACTCAATCGTCCTTTTCCAGTCTCCAGGACTTCTTGGAACCGAGTTATGAATTTTCGTCGCAAACTCCGCCCACTTTGGTCATGCCCGCCCACCAATAG